AAATTTAATGGAATTTAATATACCCTCTGGTAAAAACTAACATAGCCATGGAAAATGGCCTATTTATAGATGGTTTACCTATTAAAAAATTGTTATTTTCCATGGCTATGGTAATTTACTGGGGAGATGAGGGAGATGTTTCATGGGAATGGGATAATAATCCACTGGATATATACCCTCTGGATCCTATTTTCCCAACTTCGAGCATTTCTATGTTTCATCTGGTTGGTGGTATACCTACCCCTCTGAAAAATATAAAAGTCAAATGGGAGTATTCCCAACTGAATGGCAAAATAACATTCATGTTCCAAACCACCAACCAGTAATATATAATTTACTGGGGACATGAGGGAGATGTTTCATGGGAATGGGATTATAATATCTTATAATCCACTGGATATATACCCTCTGGTATAATTAGAATTCAACAGTTTGGATAAATATGTTGGTTTATGATGCGATCTGATTATAGATGTATTTGATTATATGTATCACATATGCAAATATATCTATAACATTATATCCAACATAAATCCTGGCTAATTAGTCTAGTTATAAATCAACTTATCCATCTAGGGGGCAGCCCTTCCCATTGGTAAATCCGGAAACGACGTCATTTTACGAACAAGAAGGCTGATGCAACGAACAGCTATAATACCAATAGCACCAAAGGGGTTCAATCAGAGCCCGCATGGTTACTGCATCAACGAAAGCAAAGGATACAATTATATATATACCACTTGTAGTTGATACCAGCTAATAGTCCGCATAAATGTACATATAACAGTAAATACCAGTTTTACCAGTTAAAGTCCATCACCAGTTAATACCAGTTTCATATGGACTATACATCAGTTATCTTCACCATTTATTCCGCCCGCACCTAAGCCAAATTGATGGAGGAAGACTGATTTCCCGTTAGCAGGCCATCAAAAATGGTTTCGCGATCTTTTCATGTGGGAGCATTGGTGGCATTCACTCTTAGATTTTTTTGCCCCCATAAACTACAACTGGTTGGTGGTTTCAACCCCTCTGAAAAATATGAAAGTCAGTTGGGATTATGATTCCATATACTATGGAAAATAAAATTCATGTTCCAAACCACCAACCAGATATTTCATTAACCACTATTAACCATTATGAACCACTATTAACCAATGTTTGGATGTTTGATCCTTCACAATACTAGCAGGGCATGGTGAAGTTCCAGTTTCGGATTGCCACGAATCCAGGTCCGTACAAGTCCCAACCCCCCTGGGCATTCCAGCTTGATCTTTTCGATATTCCTCGGTGAGGCCATGGCTTTTGGATCCATCAGGGAAGAGGTATCTAATACCCATATGCTCATTTGCTCTCAAAAAAAAATCACCCAGTCTTGTATACCATATGGAGGATATAGAAAATATATGAAAATATTAGGAGCTATCCTAAATACTATACTGGTTGGTGGTATACCTACCCCTCTGAAAAATGATGGAGTTCGTCAGTTGGGATGATTATTCCAAATACATGGAAACATAAAATTCATGTTCCAAACCACCAACCAGTCATCCTTTATCATCCCTTTTCCCCTAGTAAACCATATCATCCGGTAACTCCTCCTTTTTCTTCCAGATATTTTCCAGTAAATTCCCAATTGTGACGTTTTCCAGAACATGCCCAAATTGTCTTCCACTTTTCCAGTCATATCCCATGTTGTTTTTTTCCCGTTTTCTAGTAATGGGGTTAAAACAATTATAAACCATTCCTCAGTTTACCATTTTTATGGTGGTATATTTGCCATCAAAAACGGGTTGATTTATTATTGATGTAACCACATTACATTCCCATTTTCCCAACTTCGAGGATTGCTATGTTTCATCTGGTTGGTGGTATACCTACCCCTCTGAAAAATATGAAAGTCAGTCAAATGGGATGATGAAATTCCCAACTGGAGGTATCCTAATGGAGGTATCACATACTTAAATTCCACATTTCTCAGTTTTCCCAGTTATAACTATATAAATACTTACCCTCTGGTTATTTAACATAGCCATGGAAAATCCCTGACATAAATGGAGGTTTCTAGCTAGGAAAATCATCTATTTCTATGGGCCATGTTCATCCATTTTCCATGGCTATGTTAAATAACCAGAGGGTAAATCCCAGATATTTTCCAGATATTTCCCAGTCAATTCCCAGTTGTATCCCAAACAAAACCCATGGAGCATTGCTGGGATGGAGCTATCGGACCATACAACTGTGGATGCCAATAACTCTTGGGATTCCGATGAACTGACAATGAATCATTGGAGAATGGGATATAAAATGATATATATATATATCCAATATGTATAATATAAATATATAATATAACATAATAATAATAATAATAATAATATATAATATATAATATAAATGTATATATACATATATATATGATATAATATAATATGATATAATATCATATAATATGTATACTATGATATTTATAATATATATATATAAACCATCTGATAACCATCTACATCCATCTGGTGAGTTCGCAACCATCCTCAGTTTTTTTGGCCTTTATTTAAGGGCCCTATGAGGCGGTGCTCGCGGTGCCTGCTGATATCATCCAGATGATCTCAGATGATAAAGGTGGGAGGTTCATATATTTTCAGCAATGAGGAACATTACCCTCTGGTAAACTAACATAGCTATGGAAAATGACCCATAGAAATAGATGGTTTACCTATTAAAAAAGGTGTTTTTTTATAGCTATGTTAATTTACCAGAGGGTATAGGATGGTGGAACCTCCCACCTTTATCATCCGAGACTATGCAAATTCGGGAAAATATCATGGAACAGCATAGTCTCAGTCAGATGTGATATACATATTATATTTTCCCGAATTTCCAGAATCTCAGTCTCCTGTAATATGGAACATCACCATTTTCGGGAAATCAACAATCAGACATGTTCCACAACCAGCTCGAAACCATCACTGTCAACACTATTAAGATAAATCCATGGATTCGGTTATATGGCTTATCAACTTCAGCTGGTTAGTACAGGATGGGGCCCCCAGTCGATAGCGTTCAGTTGCCTGAAAAAAGTGGTTGAATTCTATGGTTTATGGTAGATATAACGAACTAGTTAATGGTGGTTATAATGGTTTATAAACCAACTTATAACTTACGTTCCTCCCTTTGCATTGAATAACCTTAATCCGTAAAGCGATAGAAACTTACCGTTGCCCGGGGAACTTGCCCAGTTGATTGATCCAGTAGATGCACTACCAAATCATGCTGCTGAACAATCCAGTTTTTGATGGTTGAACAGCAGTCATAATTTCCAGAACCCGCAACTGGCCATTAACAAACATAACCAGCCTGTTGTAAACGGTAACAACCATAAATTACCATACCATTAAGATCCATTAAGAATTAAACATCCATTTCCACCCAAAAAAAACCCTTGCCAAACATACAAGCTGCCAATGCTCAAAGAACACCAACCCTTCCCCAGTTGATGAACCAAGTAGATATCCTATGGTTGACTTCCCGTCCTCCAAACATCTCCATGGTTTGCTGGAAACTCCCCCAAAACTGTGAGGATTTTCCAAGCGAACTACACCTCGGCTAGGATTTTCATGGGATTTTCCAGGACAAGGCTCTTGTAATGCATATCCAAAGGATCGTCATGAGACACTTCATAAATAAGCACCTGGGCAAGCACAATACACCACGGCGAATACACCGGACAACAAAAGCTATGCCAAGATGGCCTCTTTTGGATATGATTTTATGGTTACAATATACATATAATATCCCAACATGATATAGAACAAACATTAACATATACATATAGATATATATATATATATATACATACATATACATGTACATATACATGTACATATATATATATATATGTACATGTACATTTACATGTACACATGTGTATATATATATATATTCCACATCCATCGTGATTTCAAAACATACTGTAGTATGATATCATGTTATGTTTCCGTGTAGTATTGAAAACATGTATGCAGGTATATCTCATGGCATGTTTTATTTTGCGATTCCTAGTAACTGGCCTGAAATGCGCTTCCGAATGGCTGGTTTCGACACTTTCCGGAAATATAGGATTGATCCCAGGTGGAGGAAGAGATGGAACAAAAAGAAATACGTCTTGAAATCAAACGACCAGCTGTTTTTTTTCCTGGTGGCTTCTGCCTAGTTACCTAGCTTTGTGGTGACGGTATCTTATTGCTTCTGCAGGCTACCCCAAACTATGAAACAAGTTTCCTAACATCATTCATACCATTTCTTTTCATTTCGTACTTTATTGGGCTTACAACATGAACTTCAGAAAATCTACCCGCTACTTGTCCACGTGAGCAATTAAAAAACAACCCTATCCCATCTAAGTATACTGGTTGGTTCGTAAATATTCCATGCCTTGTGTCATAATCCCAACAAACCAGCTACCCCCGGCAAATTCACCCATCATCAGAGGTATTTTGCTCATGGCTCAACTGTACCAGCTACCCTCTGGTAATTTAACGTAGCTAATGAAAATGGCCATTGAGTTCGTTGATTTACCCATGAAAACTGGTGATTTTCCATAAATCATCCATTTATAGTAGGATTTTCTATTATAAACCATCCATTTTTGAGGTACCCCCATCCATTATTTAATGGGATTTTCCATTGGAAACGTTTACCAGCCGGCTATTTTTTTACCTCCAGGCCCAAAGGCACCTTGTCTGGAAGTTGAACTGCCAAGCGGTCGCGGTATACCGCGATCTTCTTGACATAGTCCTTCCAAACCCATGCGATGATCCCACGTGGTATGTGAACAATTGATCAGCAAAAGTGAAAGTCAACCGTCATTCCAGTACTGGTTGGCTAATAGATGCTAAGAACGGGATTCCCCTATTGGATTACACAAATCGCCAATATGTTGGGTAGTATAATCCCCTATAACCAGCAACTGTGAAAGTCAATAGGGTTCATCATCCATTTTCCAACATTTTCCAACATTTTCTGGCTGAAGATAATGGAAAGATCATGGGAATATGGGTATGGGACAAAATTAGGTACCCCGATAATTGGATGGTTAATACTAAACTAGACTAACATCTGTGGTCCCCTAGGTCTTCCATTTTGACCCACATCCATATAATAGGGAAAATCTACTGGGATATATTTGCTGGAAATATACTTTCTGGCGATGGTGGTCCCAGATAGGATCCCGGGTCAATAACCATAGCATGACCCCAGTTATGTATGTGTTTCTTTTATGGGTTTTATACAGGGTTTATAAACCACGGATCCTAACTGAATAAATGTGCCATTGTTAGGTGAGATTGTTTTGTTGGATCTAAATGAGAGTTAATATAAAGATATATAAAGGGTATACAATATGATACAATGGTAATATATGACGGTTTAACAAGACTTAATATATGTGCCATGGTCAAGTTACATGGAAATTATGTGGGTTATGGTCATCCCACCATCATCTGGTTGGTGGTATACCAACCCCTCTCAAAAATATGAGTTCGTCACTTGGGATGATTATTCCCATATATATTGTGGAAAAATAAAATTCATGTTCCAAACCACCAACCAGATGACAAATTTAGTGTGAAACATATTAGTCAATGGGAAGAAATATCCCATATATTATGGAAAAATAAAACATGTTTGAAACCACCAACCAGATGTGTTTCCCATATTTTCCTATGATTTTCCCATGGTTTTCCCAGATGGTTAGTGCGTGAAAGGACAAACAAATCTGGAGAATGTATGTTTTTTGCCAGCCCAAATCGGATTTTGTCGACCCAAACTGGGGATTGCTATGTAAATGAAACAGGCCTATCATTCTACCTGCGACTGGTTTGATTTCAGGGAGGTTTTTTTCTATACTGGAAACAATGAGGTTTCAAATATTGTTCTGTCAATTTTCCTGTCAGCCAATTTTGGAACCATCCATGTAATTGTGGTGTATATATAATATTTGCCCACACTGACCCCCGAAACAACCACACCAAAATTATGACATGGATAGAATGGAACCACTTCTGCCACGGACCAAGGGTAACACAGTGACCACCATGATCATCACGTTTTTGCAGCGAGTTCCTATTCTCGCAGAGGTTTTTTTCTTCGGAGCACATCCGCACCGTTTGCCCCATAGTTATACCGGTATAATCTACAGTATGATGTCCTGTAGATTTTCCATTCAACTCAGCAATATTAAGCTGGTTGGTGGTATACCTACCCCTCTGAAAAATGTAAAAATATGAAAGTCAGTTGGGATTATCATTCCCAATATGTGGAAAAATAAAAGCCATGTTCCAAACCACCAACCAGATTAAGTCTCACTGCTCACCAGGTCGAATGTAGGGCTTCCATCTTTGTTTGTTTAAACCCCGCACCCTCCTCACTACCATGTGTAGTGATAAAGGTACCCTCTGGTAAACATACAAAAAACTATTGAACATGGCCCATTTAGTTCGTGGATTTACCCATTAAACATGGTGATTTTCTATAGTTATGTTAGTTTACCAGAGGGTAACAGAAGAACACCCTCTGCTATAGAAGGTGAGGGTCATGTACTATGTATGTGTCTACTTGCGGTTGCAGTCGGGATTTTCAACGGGTACAACTATGGTGATAGCCTCCATAAATTGGGAGAATCACAGCTATAACTGAACTATTTTTACATATCCGGTAATAAGAGGAACTGAACTGCACACCCAAGTCAAGAAGATACTGGACTCATTCAATATCAAATCCTATCACTGATCTAGGCCAATACCGTTGCTACAAGGTGGTACCCCCAATTATAAGTTGGTTTATAATCCATCGTAACTAACTTGTCATATCGTCCATAAACTTAACAGTTGTTGGAGATATAAACCCACTTAGCGATTCCGAACTGGGGAACCACCTTGGAATCCTTAGAGATACACACATATTCCATATTATTCATGAAATTCCCATCTATTCCCATTAATACTTCCATTGTAATCCCTACTAAATCACCATCTTGGCTGCTTCATATTTGAAACCTCCCTGGTTTTTGTTCGGAGATTCGCATCTTTTCGGCATGATCCCACCATCATTTGGGGGCTCGTTAAGGGGACAGGGGACCTATGAGACCTGAAGAGTTTCATTTCTGCCGCTGTATGGTCTGCCACCGTGATTTCTGTAGCATAGCAGTGCCTACGCTCAGCATTGTGCTCGCACTGTTTCTTGAAGCACTGCTTGCAGCCATCGGAATGCCAGCTATTTTCAACCTAGACTTGGGGCCCCTATTTTAAGAAAGCAACATATTAGCATCGGAAATGGTTTATAGACCCATATATTCCATATATATATATAACTGGTGAGATGGTGAGATGTCCATTAATCAAACTGGCATATCCCAGGGTTGAACCAGCCAGGTATGGTGGGGCCGCACCCCCATACGGCCCACAGACATCTCTCCTTACATCTGATTCGAACCTTTTGTTCCTCAGTGCGGCGTGCTGCGTTTCATGGGTTTCCCGGTGGGATACTGAGCCCGAGCGTTCACCTGGGTTCCATGTTCGACCCCAAACTAGGATTTGAATCTTTAGTTGCTAGTCATGTTGTTCATACATATATACAGTATATGTATATATATATATACATATACATATGTATATATATATATATCATATCCCCAAACATAGATGCAGTTATCTGTACAACCATCAAAAGTGATATGTATATACAGTATATGTACATATATATATATATATGTATATGTATATATATATATATGTATATATATATATACAAATATATATATATATATATATATATCATATCCCCAAACATAGATGCAGCTATCTGTACAACCATCAAAAGTGAAAAACTGGTCTGACGGGACCCAGTAGTAATATGAGTAGCTGGAAGACACCAATCACAAATGTAGCTGGCCAATTTGTTGGGAGGAAACATACCATCAAACCCCTGAGTAAATTGGGATGTTCCCTTTGATACACCCAATGGCACAAGATTCAAGCACTACTCAGTACCCTTAGGCTGCCATACTTGGAGAATCATATCGTGGATCGGAAGTTCTTAACTAAATCTCTTCAGGATTTAGTTCAAAAAGTCCCTGATTTGACCGAAAGATCCTACGTTTCTTACCAGGATCAAACACCGCAGGTCACGCAACGAAAAAAAAGCGCCATCCAAGGAGTCGGAGGATACAACATGATACAACCACTGGGGGCCGTGAAATGTTGGTTGTTTGGTGAAAAAAAATCATCCGACTGTATATATATATAATATATATATATATCTATCACAACCCCCATTCATCTTAGTAATAAGATCTGGGCAAATTATAATATATGTTATAATGTTTCACTAACCTGAATAGTTCGGCCATTTGGGGATGATTCCCCTTATTAACCATGATTATAGTGAGGGAGAATAGTGAGGTCGTGATCAAATTTAGCCAGATAAGATGTAATAAGTTATACCCTCTGGTAAACTAACATAGCTATTGAAAATGGCCATTTACAGTTGATTTACCCATTAAAAATGGTGATTTTCCATAGTTATGTTAGTTTACCAGAGGGTAAACCAACGAAACCACCCTTTTTTGGGGGGACCCATGGTAAGGGCAATCATCCCCAAGATATCATCATCATCATCATGTTTCCTGACTGAATTGTGCTTTGAAAAGGTTATACATCTCACTATATCCATCTATATCCCATGAATTATTCCCTCTTATATCCCCATGAAATACATGAAATATCACCATGAAATATCCGCAGCATTGTTGTTGTTTGTGGTTGTTTTTCACCGTGGTTTTGACTACGTAATGTTTGGAGAAGAAACAGTAACAATAAGCATAGTGTTGTTTATAATCTTATACATCCCATCATATTGCATTCTAGTAAATCACATTCGTTTTCTGTATCCCCACTTAGATTCAAAAACGTATCTTGGGGCCCCACACCGTAGGTACCCTCTGGCAAACTAACAGTTTGCTATTGAAAATGGCCATGTTTAATGGGAAATTCCAGTATTTCCATGGCAATGTTCAATAGCTTTTTGTATGTTTATCCAAGATCTTATAATCTGTATCCAGTATTATTTTCATCTTAGTATCAATAGCTATTTTCAATCCAGATCAATCCAGTATTATCAATTGCAATTTTCAATAGCCAGATCCAATGTGAACATCCATATATCAATATCCAGATTCAATAACCAATACTGGATATGGATTATATTGATTGACATTGATTATCTTATTGGTCATTCAATATCCAGATCCAATGTTCAAAGTATTCAATTGCAATGGGTAATCCATTGTGAAAATCCATCTCCAAGGCTCAGTGACCAGGTGCTGAATAATCACCTCAGCTGCTGATAGGCTTCATCTGACGGCTGAAAGAAACATGGGCTGGTTAAAGAAACATGGGAAACTATGGGAAAATCATGGGAAAAATGGGCTAATAATTGTTAATGTTGGTTAATATACTGTTAATATTAATGGTTAATATTAATGGTTATTATATGGCTAATGATCTTGAATAATATGGTTTATCAATGATTACTGGTTGGTGGTTGAGCCACCTACCCCTCTGAAAAATGATGGAGTTAAAGTCAGTTGGGATGATGAAATTCTCAACTGAATGGAAACATAAAAAATGTTCCAAACCACCGTGGCACTGGAAAATGTGCAGTGATTTTCCCAAGAAATCACTTCCATTTAAAATCGATCTTCCTTCATCGGCAACGGATCAAATCAATCAAACAACCTGGATTTTTGCAAAGAAATATTGGAATGACAGTCAAGAAAAGAAGAGATTAAGGTGAATCAAACATATTTAAGCGAGATTGTGACATGTTTACCCTCTGGTAAACATACAAAAAGCTATTGAAAATGGCCCATTCATAGTTTGTTTTCCCATGAGACATTGTGATGTTCCATAGTTTTTTGTTAGTTTACCAGAGGGTATATATATATAATATCTATTAAGTATCTATTAACATCTTTAAATAGGGTATATATATATATATATTATCTAATAAATATCTATAGTTATTCAATAGCTATTTCGACATAACCAGAGGATAGACTTCTCGGTTACATGTTCTCGAACTCCTGATGATCTGATGTTGCCGCCTCCTGACATCCGGAACCTAACGAAGGTTTATATCAATGGATTGGTTTAAGGGAAAACTTACAGGAAACCATTGTTTTTACCATTAAATATGGGGTTTTCCTATAAAATTTCCCCTAAACCAATCCATTGATTATAGCTGGGAAAATCAGAAAACATGTGGGAATTCTCATGGTTGATAATGGTAAATCATTCTTAATAGTGGTTACTAATCATAATACTTGTTATTACTAATCATTGATTAGCCATTGTAATCCTGGTTGGTGGTTTTGACCCCTCTGAAAAAAATGAACGTCAGTTGGGAAGGATTAATTATCCCATATATTATGGAAAAATAAAAGCCATGTTTGAAACCACCAACCAAATAAATAGTGGAAGTTCCTATTTGTTACCAGAGGCTATTTCCTATTTACTGGGAAAATCAATGAATAGTAAAATTTCGTATTTGATTGATTAGTTACAAGAGGCCATTCCCAAACAACATGTCCCAAGCGATGGATGTCCCATTGGGAAAGCATGTTTTCAATCATCAGCGAATCTAGGATAGTCATTTCCGCCAAACCAGCATTCAATGGCCATTTCAGGAACCTAAATTGGAGGTACCTACCATATATAAGGCCTATGTAAGGGGATATCCCCACAAAATATGGCCTTATATGGTACAGTACCTCCATTTTAGGATCCTGAGATGGCCATTGAAACATAGCCACGTGACATCTGTCATGACGTCTCGATAGGCATAGCGGTCCTGTGATGTCATGGTAATGTGTTTTGGGTGAAAAAAAGTCTAAAAAGTTGACACATACCCGGCCTGGTAAACATACAAAAAGCTATTGAAAATGGCAATGTATAGTGGATTTCCCCATTAAACATGGTGATTTTCCATAGTTTTATGGGACAGTTTGCTAGAGGGTACTTGGAAGTGTATCCCACTTAGTAAATGGGTCAAAAACCATCAGTTAGATTAATGGAATATCCCCTGGTATATATGGGATTATATGGGTTTTATATGGATTATGAAGCACTTACTAACTTACTAAGTGGGATGCACATCCAAATATGATCCTACAGCAACAATACCACTAACATCTACTAACAATTAATGAACCATATATGGACCATATATGAGGGTCGTTGCTTTCTGGATCGGGCTGCTTCAAAAACCTCTGACCCAGAATTGGCTACGGCAAATGATAAGCTGGCTAAATCACAAAAAAAAAATCCTGTTTAAACCAGCCATTACTGAAATCATCTGAAATCGATTGAAATCGCACAACTTTTCTGCAGTTAAAATGCATGGTGCTTGCCAGGTAAAATCACCAGCTATCCAATCTTTGATGGTTCAGAATGAGGTACCCTCTGGTTATGACTAACAGTTTGCCATGGTATAGATGGCCCATAGAAATAGATGGCTTACCGAACTTAAAAATGGTGATTTTCCATAGTTATGGGACAGTTTACCAGAGGGTAAATCCAATGATGAACTGCAACTATGGTCATAAAGCAGCTACTTGCCCATCTCTACCAACTTTCATTGTTTCAACCGTGATGTTGGCTGCTCAAGTCGCTGGTTTTGTGAGTTATTTTTTTTTGCGAGTGAACTCCAGTCCTCTTCGGCGGAATTGCAATAATTTAATGACCTGAACTAAGTTGATGTAGAGATTGTTCCCCTTAGTAATTGCCTTCCGCTGAATATTAAATACCTTCCTGGACACCTTGGTTTAGTATTGGATCTAAGCTTTTGGGTTCCGCGAAGGAATGAATACAACATAATACAATATCTTCAAAAACGAGCCAGATGCCCAGGTTAATAGCCTTGCTGCTGATGTAGCTTGCATGTCCACTCTCGACCAGAAACGATCCTTTGCAACTAGTTGCAATGTGTAAATGCACATGTTTCATTGTTAAAACCTGGAGATTTCCAGTTTTTCAGTGGTTTGTTTCCTATTCATGGCAAACAAATCACCAGTTTCGATGCTTCAACCAGAATTAAACCACCATGTTTGATGGTTAAACCACCATGTTTGATGGTTAAACCATGTTAAATCACATTTGTTCATAATTGAATCATCATTTTCCATGGTTTAAACATGTTAAAAACACAATTTTCGATGCTTAAACCACCTTTAAATCATCGTTTTTCATGGTTGAAACATGTTAAAAACACCATTTTCGATGCTTAAACCACCTTTGAATCATCGTTTTTCATGGTTGAAACATGTTCAACCACCATTTTCGATGCAAACCACCCATTTACCATATATCTGTCTGTTTCATCATTCCCCTCTGCGACAGTCCTGGTAGAGGCCATGCACGGTAGAGAAGACCACCTCACCGAAA